ATATATATATATATATATATATGAATTTTTATGTACTATAAAAATTTTCTTTTACAGCTATCACATTATTCTTCGTACTTACGTAATATTTGATAGATGCGCACAATAAAATATAATTCAGATAATAAATATTACAACGTACGTTCAACATTTACATTCCTAATTGATACATTTATATCAATTATATAAATCATTGTACTGAAATCGTACGTTCGTCCTTAATCTTTCACCATGGCTGGGTATACTTCATTCAATATTCAGAAATAATTCAAAACCTTCATATACTATTTGAAAAGATTACTTCTCAAAATTTTTTCCGTGGACGAAGTTCAGGGATTAATTTTGCGATTTTAAGTCAATCGTGATCGAGAATGATGTGAAAATTTTCCTAATTATAAACGGCATACCATCAGATAACAAATTTATTGTGAAGACGATGTTCCTTGAGACACGGCATGGAGCAAAAGCGATTGGCATTGTATTCGAAAGGCACCTGACCAGTCATGTCAACAGCGCACTGAAAACACCGCGACATTACGGTATAACCTTGGTTCAACATACGTTTCTCCGCAGCTAGTGCTCTCTAAAATGAAAAGAGAAGGAAAACGTGAAAGATGTTAAACGTGTAACTAAACCACAAAACTGAAAGTTAATTATATCAGTGAAAAATCAAGTTACAATATTAATATTACAAATAATATATTATAATATAAAATAATATATTATATATAAATAATAATATACTAAAAATATATAACGTAATGTAAATTGAATATTTTGTATAATAACGTATATATCTACCTTTTCCCGGTCGCTAAGATTAAGGAATCTCTGCTTTTCGTCTTCCTCCTGTTTCTTCAGCTCAAATTCCTTCCTCTTGACCTTTTCCTTTAAACGCTTGATCTTTCGTTGCTGCCTCTTTTTCTCCATCTGTTCTTGTTCTATCTCATCACTGAGCGGCCCGGGTATTTGAGACTGCCGAATATTATAGAACAAACGAAATTAATTAAACGTGATTTCTCAAAAGATGTCCATTTTACATGAGAAAACGTAAGATTCGATAGATTTGATACCTTTTGGTAATTGAACTTGTCCGGGTTAGCTCCCATGAACCTTCTAAACGTATTTCTAGCCTCCTTATCGCTCGCGGCGGCATAAGGTGTCTGCAGCTTCTTATTTTTATTGCAGGGATCAGATCCGATTTCCAGCAGCAACCTAAGAACACATTGTTAATCGCTAAATAATTTATACAAACTGTAGTATTAAATCAAGCGATGGATAAATTAAAGTGACGTACCATATTAATTTCAAGTGTCCACCGAACGCTGCCAAATGCAACATTGTATTACCATCTTCGTTAGCATCGTTCACCAATTTCGCGACGTCGTCCATGTTGACCAGAAGATTGCTGCATTCGATGTTAACGTCATCCTTATTTTGCTCCATCAATTCCTCGCACTTTTTAACTTCGCCCAGTAGATCGTCGATAGCTGATGTCAATAGATCGTTATCTCCTAGCTTACAGGCAGTCCACAATTTTATTTTAGCATCCGACAATACTTCATTGATTGTTTGGCCTAGATATGGTGCAACATGAAACAATTTTAAACGACAAACATTTATTAATAACATTTTTTTTCTTTTTATGTGGTTGCCTTTTTTTCATTTTGTGTGATTTAAACGATGTGTTAATATTTACACCATACACTCGCTCGAATTATTTCACGGCAGACTTCAAGAAATTCCAAATTAAAATCCTTAGTATGAAAGTTCCCTTCTAAGCAAACAACCAACACTCACCATCCTTCTTCACCTTCTTCTTCTGTCGACGAGCTTTCTTATTTTTCATGTACCTCGGTACAGTATCTTGAAAGGCTAATAAATGTTCGTTAAATTCTATCTCCAAGTCTTGTTCAATTATGGAACTCAGCGGCATATTCTCATCTACTTCCGATTCTGAAGAGGATTGAGCTAATCTAGCGACAATTTCTGCAAAAATGGAGATTCTCCATAAATATAACTGAAAACAACATTACTTCTGAACAATGTGGTAGCACCAGTCGGCACAAAGAAAGAACTAGGTTTTAAGATTCGTTATTCGTGTGTTGCGAATAGCGATACGTACCTGGCAGCGGACGAATCGGACTCTTCCTCGGTTTCGCTCTGTCTATATGTGAACGTGAATTCCTGTGTTGTCTCTCCGGTGAGGACTGCGGCGGGGCTGCTGCTTTAATTTTATCGCTTTCTTGAGAGCTACTGGTACTATCCTGTGTCACATTAGAATGACATTCCGCGCCGATGCCTCCTTCAGGTATCTCGTCCATCAGTTCCGGCTTGGGAACCTTCTTGCGTATAGGTTGCCGCGGCGAGTTAGGAAAACAATCTGTAAAGTTAGCCGCGGAACCTGAAACACGGTATTACAAAAATGATCCAGTTTGCGGATTAAAAGGACTGGTAAGATACATACTATAAGTATAATCGTTTACTCACCATAAATCTCCATGGTGCTTAGTATATCATACACTCTCTTAACTTCTTTAAACGTGGCTCTACGTGTGGGAAACGGCAGCGGTCTCAGTCTGGAGTCGTTCTTGTCTAACGAGGGATTCTTGCCGCCGAAGAGCACCGTGCGATTGAACGGCCCGACCGCTCGATACAAAATCAACGACGAATTGCTGATGTGCGTCGACCACGACTCCAGTATCTCTTGCACATGCTGAGGAGCCAACGATTGCATTGTTGCAAGTATTTAATAGCTCGTAAAATAATTCCCGTGACGACAACGATCGAATTGCGTTGCCCATAACTTATTTGCTTTGTGACGCATTGCGATGCATGTACACGCTATTCTATAAGATAAATTATAAAAAGACTGAAAAACCTGAATAAGAGACGCTTCGTTATATCTCCGCAGACTAGCACCTGCGCTCTTTTGATGATTGCCCGTCGTACGAGAACTCTGAGCGAAACCTTGTTTCGCTCGTACGGTGTAAGAATGGTATGTTTTGTGCACGATAGGCTCGCCGTCTATAACACGCAAAAACGACTTAAAACATAGTGTACACCCACCGAATATATACACGATGTCTCATGACGAACTGTACATACTAAGAGAGCGTATTTCTGGGGTCAATTTAAGCAGAAAATTTCTTATAAATGTGGGTGAAATTCACAATAATTTCTTAGATAATATATTCGTTATGAGACACTCTGTATATCGGTATCAGAGATCAGTATACATCGAGATATAGAGATCCGTAATCTACATCTAGTCTCTTGATGATAACAACGATGTACTTTGAAATACAGCCGCAGCGAAGTGTCCACCGCCGACCATGATGATCGTCCACGTGGTCTCTTTGCCGCTGTTCAATGCCTGAGCGATCATCTCATTGTCTACTTCGGGAATGTCCTAAAATGTAATTGCATCTCTCCTGATCTGGCAAGTATAGTTCGTGCCAAATGACTGACAAAAATAAACCAAGTTTCGTGATAATATTTCGCGCCGATAACGACAACAATATTGATAACAACTTCAGCCTACGTTAACCAGAAGTAATAAAGGCTCTAAAAAATAATAAATAGAATAAGTAAAGCCAACGCAGATCACAGCGCCAGAGTCAACTCACTGTGATCTCACATAGGCTCTTACTCGTCCTATTTTATTTATCATTATTTAATAATGACAATGCTCGATTTAACTTCCAGGCTATATAAGCTTGTTTTCAATGTGTTGCAAACATTCCACTCCTTCGGGAACGGTCTGAATCTCTTCTTCCCGAAGAAGTGAACTAAAATGTTTACAAGACGTCTGGAAAAAATTTATGTAAAACGCAATTCCAATCTAAAAGCCAAATCAAGCAATTTACCACATCATCTAAAGTATCACAATAATAATAATAATAATAACGTAACTTGACATACGAGAGGGAGGAAGAGATGGAGATGGTTGAGATACAATCTAATCGATGATAACTGACCTTCTTGTGATGCAGCAAACACCGGTAGATGCTGAATATGTTGCCGTCTTCGTTCTCGAAGAATACCTTCGAGTGACGACTAGCAATGGCCAATAGAGCTTGCAGTTTCTTCTCCTCATTACACTCGGTATCAGAACTGTCCGAGATGGACTCGATACCTCTGCTGCGTTTCTCCCTCTTGCCGGTCTTGTCGCTGATAGGCACGGAATCATTTTTACTCGCAGACTCGCTCTTGGTCTGATCATTGAACGAGCTGCCAGTCTCCGAAGTACCAGCTTCGTCCTCATTTTCGGACTCTGTCTCGCTACCGGACAAACTAGACACGGCGCCTACAAAATTCGAATCTGTGTCTTTTCGCACGTGTCTGACGCACCCGTCTAAAGTCAGCGCGCACCGCTGTGTACTTCATCTCAGACTATACCTTCGTCGACCAGCAAGTTAAAAGTATCCTCGTTAATTGATTTGAAACCGTTCAGATGTTGCTTGAGATTGTAACAGTGCCAATCTAGCTTGTAATGGTGTCTCTGTTGCATCTTGTCTTCAAACACAGTGTTACAGAAGGAACAACTCAAAGAGTCAGATACAACTAAGTCCTCCAACTGGCTCAACACTGTCTCGCTATCAGAAACTGCAAAGTGAGAAGGCTTTATTTGCAAAGTGTCAACAAACTTCACGCGTTACACTGGTCAACAGCGTTTGCATCAGAGGTAAAAATCGTCAATTCTTACTAATTTTGACCTGTTGAATTCAAATATAACAAACAAAGTATCCTACCCAGATAGCACAAAATCTTTAAAGAATATTCTAGGATGTTCTTAGGATGTATGAATATCCTTAGAACATCTTTAAAACATCTTTTGAAGATTTGTGCTATATGGGTATTGCTAACAGTTTTTAAGATGCATGACAATGAATATTTATATATTTCCTTTTAAAATTAATATTATTTTTATGTTTAGCAAATCTTTACAGAAATATGTGAATACTGTCCCAGTAAGGACCAATTAACAATAATATTATATCAATGTCTTAACTTTCAGAAGCCAACAATGTAACTGTTATGTAACACATTTATATTGTAGAATTACAATACTGATGATACATTACTGATAGTTTGTATTTACTGGAGACTATGTTGAAATCAACATTTCAAAATGAGACCACTCTGTTCCTCTCATGTTGTACAAATTGTGAACGCAGTAAATGGCCCACTGAGAAAATATAATCTTTGGGAATGAATAAAAAACAAGTCTCTCATTGGATCATCAGTTACATTTCAAAACATGTTGAGAAAAAGTTAGGTTAGATTAATGTGCATTTATTTCGAATATATATAATTTTATCTAATTTACCTAACTCATTGTTTAGAGTTAGATATGAGTTCTCCGGTTGAATTATGATTATAAATATAATATTGTATATATCATACGATTTAACTGAAAACTTCAGACCCAATTCTGAGTGACAAGTCCCAAGTGACAACGATAAATATGAGTCTTGATAATGATAGAGTGCTTATGCTCGTGCAAGTGAAACAGATGAATAATTTACTCATAGATACACGTCCCGTAAAATTCAAGAGGGACGTACTTACCGCAAGACGATCGCGATTGCATGCATTGCGCAACCTTGATCCCCCTGGTAATCCGGTTGAAGTCGTCTGGATTGTGTATTTTAAAGATCTGATGGTCCATCACTTTCGTGGCCACTAGACAGGTCTCGCGGCTTTCATTCGCCATTTTCGAGCTCTGGAGACGGATAGAAAAGGCGGGACGCGTAGACGATCGCGGTAACGAGACGGAAAACGTAGAGCGAAACGAACGAGTGTCGAAAATTCGACAAGAATCCTGATCCCGGAGAATGTACCGATCGTTTCGTCATCCTACGCGCCGCGATGCGTCACGCTCCCAGCGGATAATAATCACATCATTTTCTTCACGTGCGCCACTTGGCGCGTACACGCACCCGACGAGCGGGAGACTTGAAATCGTTAAAAGCGGAAATTCATTATGAAAACTCTTTCGCCGACGGGAGCAGCGCAAAGAGAACGAGAGGAAAAATTACGCTTACGTCTTCAAATAGAAAAAAATTTATGTTACAGGAAATATACAGTAGGTGCAGTTTTGATTAGAAGTATATGCAGAGATGTCAATTAGCAGTTTATTAAATAAAATATTATTTCACAGATTCACATTTTAAATATTTCGTGCGAGACAATGCAGCAGTGATTGCTCGTTGAGAATAACATTCAGAAGGAATATAGTTTTAACGCTGTTAATCTTATCAGTAGTAATCGTTCGAAAAATAGAGTACATCTTGCTATATATTCGTAATACTTGTAACAGATGGAAATTGTAAAATTCCTCGCATAACAAGTCGTAGGTAATCACTTATTTTACTTTTAGCGTTGATCTATACTTTCTTTCCTTAGATCTATCAAACTGTAGATTTCAGTCGCTCCGAGATACTCGAAGTTATAATAGAGAGAAATAAATTGCCAACTTGACACTTCTGATATCGAAGCTGCCATATACAGATCAATACAAATAAATTAATATATTTTATAATAATTTAAGCGTATAAATATTAAAGTACCTAAGTAGCACGAGTTTCGTTGTATGAGTAGCAATGAATATTTCTCATATATGCAGTAGTTGTTTAATGAGAACATCTCTCATTCCAACCATGTACATATATGGGGCATTCTTTCCTAACGTTATACCCATGCTGCCCACTTTTTATTTGATCTAAAAATTTTCAAAAAAATCTTAAAATCTACAGAAAAATGTAAGCTTTTAAATGGTGCGTGGCAAAATTACCGAATTTAATCAGATTATCCTCAAAATTTGAGAAAATCGAAGAAAAATGATGAAAATGATAATTTTCCAAGTGTAGCAATGAATCATTCGACTTTTTTCTCTTCCAATCAACACGTAATATAGTACTCTATTCATCTGCGTCTTATCATATGAGTGTAATCTAATGGATAAGAACTAATTCGTAATGTAAAATATCTTGGAAAACATTTTGAAAGTCAAAAATAAATTTTATGAGGATTTACCGGATTAAAAAATTCCATCCTCCCCCCCCCCCATTTCAACTCCTAGGCGTATTTTCGTGACGATAGAAGGCGAAAATTCATACGGTATCACTATCACGTCAATTCAGTCGCGTCTCATTGTGGAAAAATTTTCTCACCGGTAAATCCTCATAAAATTGATTTTTGACTCTCAAAATCATTCTCCAAAGTATCTTATACTACCAATCAGCTCTTATTCGTTAGATTACACTCACATAACAAGACGCAGATGAATAGAGTACTATTACGTGTTGATTGGAAGAGAAAAAAATCGAATGATTCATCGCTACACTTGGAAAATTACCATTTTCATCATTTTTCTTCGATTTCCTCAAATTTTGAGGATAATCTGATTAAATTCGGTAATTTTGCCACGCACCATTCGAAAGCTTATATTTTTCTGTAGATTTTAAGATTTTTTTGAAAATTTTTAGATCAAATAAAAAATGGACAGCATGGGTGTAACGTTGGGAAAGAATGCCCCATATATATAATCTACAAAAAGTGATTAATAAGCGCCGCAGCTTAAAATGTGACATACGTACGACATGTACTGGGAACAATGTTATTTCAAACACGCAAAAAAATATACGTATTCCATACGTAGAAAATATTGTTGTGCGTATAAAAGTTACTTCGCAAAAAATAAAATGTACCTCGCAACACTTATTACTAGCTTATCGCTAAATATATTATTCTATCAGATAATCAGTCTGAGAGAGAATCTTATGCACAAGGTTCCAATATAACAGGTTATAGTTAAAAATTTGGAACAACGAACTGTTTTGTACTTCGATGTTTTTGGTTGCTGCACATCGCACGGTCGTACTGGCTCGATACTTCCCGCGTCTAGTAGTACCGTTAGTGTGATTACTAGTGTGTAAAACTAGAGCACAAGTCCTTTACATATTTTAGAAATGCCTACGCTTTCACATCATGCGTTTTTCATCTTTAACTCACTCAAAAAGCAGTCAATTTATTTGCATAAACGTTGCAATTATATAATTCTGCAATATGTGTACTAACAGAAAACTACAAAACGCAAAAATTACCCGTGTATCACCAGCAGCTTCCTGTAATTCGGGATTTACTAGATACTATATATACACATAAGAGCCATCTATAAATAAACAGTTTGTTTCGACGAACTAACATAAATACGCAAATAAATAAAAATATTACACGTAAACAAAAATAGAACCATCTTTTAAGCTGCCTTCACGGGCAAGCTGCTAATCACATTTCTGTAGAGTTAAAAACACATGTAAATAAAAAATAATATTCCATGTAGCGCACCAACTAAATAGTTTATATGCATCGTTGAACCTTCGCGTACCCTGAAATACATGTGCCAAGTGATATTAGAGAAACAGAGATTATATACTCGCACGCATTCTGTTGTCGCGTTTTCACAAAATAGATACCTAAGTGATATTTAAGTAGTAAGATCAAAGCTCACCTCTGCCTGGAAGAACTGAAAGGAAACGGTGGGTTAACACCAGGCACACTGCTGTCCATGTAAATGATAAACCAAGTGAAACTTGTTATTGCAAGCCCACCCAGCGTCGCCTTTATCAACCACCAGTATCTCTCGTAAAATGTAACCAGCACATCGGCAGCTGCTCCCGTGTACTGATTACTGGCATCCAAGAATGTCCCGCTATTCGCCAGCAATTGATCACCAATTTGCCACGACAGGGATTCTCCTGAGGGCAAAACAAGAAAGCTGTATCAGCCATCATCGGATTCCCATCTTTCCCGGCGCAGTACTTTTTTGAATCTTTTTTTTCCAAATAAAAAATTCAAACTGTTTAGAAAAGCCTCGTTTTCTAATTCGCACAAAGTCATCTTCTTTCTCGGTTATGAATAATACATTTAAATGGAAGAGATATTTAAAAAAAATAGAATAGAGAACAAAATGAAAAACGACGAGACGAGTCTTGCTTTTTTTCTCTTTTTTTTTTCTGTTCTTCTCGTCGTCTCTCGCTGTGTTGCGTCAGTGAGGAAAGTCAGGTACTTTTTGGGCGATGACGCGGCCTTCGTAAATTCGGTCATGGATGCAGACTTCTCGCACGCACGAACACGTGCGCGCGGAGAAGTTCGAGGGGAGAAGAATCTCGCCGACTCGCGTGTTCGCCGAAAAATGTATCTTGCCCGCGCAAATAGGCCGTGTAACAAAAATACAGCTCAAGAACGGCCGCACGTGCGCGCCGTCTGCGCTTTAAAGCGCGCTCGCGGATCGCGCGTTTAAATTCCGCGTCTGGAATGTGATACGAAAAGGAAACAACAAGAGGCAGAGTAATGATTTGCAGAAGCTTAACCGGCGCACGGGTTATTTTGATTTCAACATATTTTCAAAATAATAAAGCACTTATATTCATTATATATGTATATTTTTTTATATATTGTATTACATTAGATTCATTGAGATCAGAACATTGACTTTAGGAAAGGGACTGATTTAGTGATACAACTTTGTGAAATTAACATAAACAAATGGTAGGCTACATGATAATAGAATGAGGTACTTGATATACTTGATGGAAAAATATCAAGGATTATTATCTCGCTAACAATACAGAAATACAGATTTATTGATAATAATTACCATACAATAACTTATGTACAAATTGTTGCTTTCATAAATCCATTTTAAGGCCTGTCAGATGATTTCTTTTCAGCTTCAACATTAGTACTTTCCAGCTAAATTTTAGTACTTTCTGATTTCAATGAGAATACTTATATCATTACCTGCACGAGTATGAAATAAGTATACACTCATACACCAAAGAGAGAAAAATGAAAGTGGATTAATCAGATGTAGAAAATGTACCTGAAAAAGAGATGTCTAATGATACAGGTATAATGATAAAAACAAAATAAAAGTAATGGGGTTATCAAATAAGATGAATTTAAATAAAATAAATAATGCGCAAATAATAAATGGGTAATAAACGAAATATAAATAAAAAGTTTAAATTCAGCTTCATATTTAATGAAATAAAAATAAACAAATACGCATCCAACTCGATTTTAGAGATGCGTACGTTCAACCGATTTTGTTGTTGCAAAAGAAATTAATTTTACACATTGGCGCACATTTACGCGTGCGAACGAGAAGGAGAGAATCCGAGGCCCTCCCCCCCCCCCCC